GCTAAAAAAGAGTTATTTTATCATGTTTATGAGAAAACTTAGCATGGTCCAAGATTGGTTGTAGCTCACATGGGCACCTACACTATCAAAACGAATTTGGCTGACTCCGGTCAAACTTTCATACTATGCAATAGTCCGTAATCCTTTCAAACTGACTAAGAAGGAATTTCCGTTGAAAGTAACCTTTGTCACGGGTTTTCCCTGTACACTTATCCTATGTAAGTTAACAAAAATACAGCAACCATATTTCTTTGGAAAATTTAAGTCAATTCTAACGATACCGAATTCAAAGAAAATCTGTTCTTAAATAGGGGATGAAACTCATTTTAATTATGATGTATTGATGTACCCCATTATGCATTTTACTAACATCTTTTACTTGTAACACTAACATCATTTTACTTGTATCTTGTATCTTGAGTTCTGATCAATATCTGCGGACATTGAGTGAAATCACTGCTACTTAGCTAACACAATCTGCTGTTATAATTAATTGTTAGTTTCATCAATCAGCTGATTGAAGCATTACATTGTCGAACTGTGGCTGTTACATTCAAATCAAATCAAATCAAATCAGATTTATAAAAAAAAAAAAAAAAAATTTTGTTTCAAAAATTAAATACACAGATCTAGAAGCATTACATCAATTGTTTATGGAAATTAAGGTTAAGTTAAATTTAAAAAGTTATTAATTGTATAAGTACTAATTTAAATTTAACGCGAGTAAAAAATCATGAGATTTTGATGGAATTCATTGCAACCCACGTTTATTCGAACGAGTTCGCGAACCAGCATGATCAGACTATGAGAGTGGGTTTATTTTGGGGGTGGGGGGAGGGGCATGGGGTGAAAATTGGGGTTTCTCATTTTTGACAAAAAACCGCAAATTTCCTAAAAAAATAAATTTGAAATTCCCTCGTTATTCTATCTTGAGTAAGTGCATTGAAATGGTTTGCTTGTTTTTAGATATATTTTGGCCAAATTTGGTAAATTTATTTTTTTCATACCAATCTACTAACTATTTTGCTAAAATCACACATTGCAATTCCGCGTAGCAGCCAACCTTGGTAGGTCTACTAATTAAAACTATGTTTACTTCAATAGGGCATAAATCTGATATGATCGAGGAAATATTTGAAAGGAAATCTGATCAGAGAATGGGAATTTGCTTAGTTTGCAGGTATTTGGGACAGGGATATTAGTATAATATTTTAGGCTGTCTTTAGTTCAGAAATTATAAGCTCAAAAGTCAGTATAGAATTTGGGAATATTACTGGTCCACAAAAATAGTTTGATGTGATATTTTAAATTCAAGAATGCTGCTGAAGATGAGATGTAAGTACCACGAAACATGGACAGCATGAACTACATTTGACACCTTCAGGCAAAAGTAAGTCAAATCATACTTATGGTAAAAAAAAAACTTAGACTTCATACTAGCAGAGTAGCCTACCCGTCCTTCGTACGGGGTTGGCGTATAGCAGTATAAAATGCTTATTGCCTTTATACTCGTACTTTGTGTTTGCAATGGGGGAGGACTTGAAAAAGTATGTTCTTTTAATTTACGGTATGCTATAGTATAACACATTTACCACAGCTATAATAATGTTCTACTGAATCTAAACAATGAAAAAATTAAATTATAGTTCGGCCGCTTAGAAAACGACCTGCGCGCTTATGCTAAACCAATGGTGGAGGAGGTCGCTTTCTAAGCGGCCGAACTATACCATAAATGTTCACAATATCACAAATTATTTATAAATCAAAAACATAAGTATAACTATAAACAATAATATTTTGTCAGTTCCCGTTGTGTATCACAGCTTGTTGCTGCTTGGTTCAAGTTGTCATAAATGCAAAAAAATAATAGTGCTGCACCCTATTGGTAAACCCTATAACCTTTTAATGCTATTGAATATCATAGAACCAACTTGTGTAGTTTAAACAGCTGGCAAATTTATTTATTTTTTACTACCGCGAAATGGGGAGTTGCCTTCATATATGGACAATTGTGTATAAATTAGGGGCTACGGCCCCTACAGGCCCCTATTTTATTAATAGACTAGCTGTGGCCCACGGGCTTCACGCCGTTTGACTTCATAAGTATTAATAAAACATAAAACTATTGATTGGTTAAGCTGAAATAAACCAAACCAAACAGAATACAGTAATAATAACACCTGATTTTAATAAGGTAATAAATTAAAAGAAAAACATACAAATAAGTACAGCTGAGGTATTTTTAACATTAGGTATATGGAAAGTTCCCTTTAGAAAGGAATTACGACCTAAAGGGCAATTGATGAAATAATGGATAGTTTTGCGCAATGTTTCTCGTCATGACGAACATTTGAAGTATATGGTTTATGGAGGCGTGACTTGTAGTTTTCTCAAAAGTTCATGGGTACTTTGGGCTTTATATATGGACTAGCTGTAGGCTACCCGCGGGCCTTGCCCCGTTTAACTTCTTAATTTTCAAGATGAGCTCGTTCGCATGGCTCAATCACGTCCTGGTTGAAGTTCGTTCGCTACGCTCACTCACCTTTAGGTTGGAGCTCGTTCGCTGCGCTCACTTGCCTTCAGGTAAGCTCGGTCGCTACGCTAACTCGCCTTCAGGTTGAAGTTCGTTCGCTACGCTCACTCACCTTTTGGTTGCAAATTAGCTGTTGTCATAAATAAAAAAAAATAATAGTGCTGCACCCTGTTGGTAATCCTTGTAACTTTAATGCTATTGAACATCATAGAACAGAACCATCTTGTTTGATTGAAACAGCTGATAAGATTCATTAATTCCTTTTAAATATGAAAAATCATAAGGTTAACATGGGAAAATCCAGAGCCACTGGGGCGGAGTCCGAGAGTCCGATCAGAATAAAAACAACTTAGTTTTCCTATTTAATGCCTAAAGAATCGGTGTACCAAATTTCAGCCTCCTAGGTAAATGGGAAGTGGGAGAATTAGTGATGAGTGTGTCAGTGAGTCAGTGAGTCAGTGAGGGCTTTGCCTTTTATAAGTATAGATATCTGAACAACCAACTGTGTCAAAGATACTAAATTTTCTTTCGACACATGTCGAGGACGAAATTTAAAATCAATATTTGTAAGTTAAACTTTGCCCAATTGCGATGTCACTCAAAAACGTTACTTCTGGCGTGTCTATGTCACAAGTGTATGTACAATTGGATATTAAAATACATTCAAATAAAACATAACTCAGTTAAAAGATTTACAGGTTCGAAAGAGAATGTTCTCGCCATTTGTTTTTATACTTGTCATATTGTTTACAGTACGTATAATACAAATTATATTTTATCTTACGACCGCACGTTTTCCTTTGCAATTGATAAAATGTAAAAAAAGGCTGTAGATTGTTAGTAATTATTTAATTTTGGTACAAATTATATATCAGATTCAAATACTAAAAAATAATTATTATTCTATACAAATATTTGTAGAGGGTTCAGGTATTACAAGAAAATGTATTGATTTATCCAAAAATAAATGAATGTAAAGTAAATATCATTTGTATTTTTTGTGTTTTGTGGGAAAATAGAAATGATCGAATAATTTAAACTTTTTTTTAACTTAACTTGGGTTTATGTGTTAAGATTGTAAGCGAGGCAAAATTTAACTTTAATTTGATCAACCTCAAACTTGTAAGACATTTTACGTTGCAAAGAATGTCCAGGAATAGCTCACGCGATGTTAAATTGTAATAATTTACTCAATGGATTTTGTGGGCTAATATAGTAATAAAATTGGGTTTTGTAAGCGAATGCTAAGTTTTATTTTTATCTTAATACCCAAAGTAACAGTGGGTAAACCTCCAAGTAGGGGAGACTAGCTACCGTTACATAAGTATATGAGAAAACTAAACACATAAACACATAGATAAATCCCCAATTGTGAAAGTCAAACAGTAATAAAATGGATCGAAATAAAAATCCTTAAACAATGAATAAAAGAATTAAATCAATAGTTGCTAATCAATAGCTACTAAAAGCTTTAAAGTCCTACAGAAGTTAGATGTCGTTGGTTCGCCAAATATAAAACTATTGTTACACATTATGCATATTTAGATGGAAGAGTTCTTTTCCAGGCAGTGTTCTCCTCACCAGGGGATGAGTGTGAGGACGGCTACAGGGGTTGTAATGACTGCGATAATCAGCAAACTAGCAATGCAAGTATTGATAAGTTAGCCTGTATCTGCACATGCAGAAAAATCATACGAAAAACAGAGCATAAGTAAACGATAAAAAAAATAAAAAAATAAATATACAACCTCATGCAGCTTTGTGTGTAATACTGAAAACGCATATCTCAAAAACAGTTTTGCCAATATTGTATCAGAACTAAGTAAATAATCTAATTTTAAATTATAGTTTGTTATGATTGATCTATCCAATGTCAAACGGTGACACCAACAAAGTAAGTTCACCACCTAAAATTCCAACTTGAACATACAATTTAAGTTTGCTTTTGCATAAAGTTTGTCAAGTCGGTACGACGACTTATTTTATTTTACGATGTTTTACGACAAAAAATGTATCATACATTAGCCTAAGTGTGTTTCTGATGTATGAGTTGCCCAACTAAAGTGGTTTATCAATTTACCCACGAATTTGAAACTTATAACTGTTTAGAATTTCAAACAATCAAATACATTTCCGATACATTATTTTTCACGATCAGATGAAACGGTAGTGTATTCATATACTGTAAATACAACATAAAATAACATAATGTCTCTTCTCATTACATACATATGAGATTATACGCTCAGTGACGTCAATATGGCCTTGACTGAGACAAAGTAGTGCCACCGTGTATTTAACTTAAATTTAACAAATTTAACCTAAGTTTTCTTGTTGCAATCACTTACACCATTTTTATCTTTCTTTAGAATGACCAAGAGCCATGCTTAGTGTCGTGTTATTGTAACAATGACGAAAAGGGTCCGGTCTGTGTGAAGAGAGCGCCTCGTATATATTCAATGGCGCCTCCAAACCATTCATACCTCGGCCCATACGGAGGAGGCTATAATGGGCACTCAGTAGAGATAGGAGGAGCCGCGAAGGGAGCAGCAGTAATGGGAGCAGCAGCGGGAGCAGCGGCATTTGGAGCACCAACTAATAATTACCACAAGAGTGAACCACAAAACCCTCTACCACAACCACAAAAGTCACAAACATATCAGACTAGTAAGTAGACATACATTTAAATCTCCATTTTCTCGAGATTTTCTAAGTATAGCAGTGCCTAGTGTCTGGTTGAAACTAATTCCCAAAATATTTGTATATCTATGAGATAGGTAGTAGGTAAGCAAGTGTTCTTTTAGATTACTTAGATTTCATGAAAAAGGTTGGAGGAAGTTTTTTGTGTTATTGGTCGGAATCGGTAAAGAAATTAGGTAGACGTAATAAGTAAGCTAAAATGTAGAACAAAACTGTTTTCAAATACCAATAATGAAGTATTTTTACGATTTTACCAAGTTTTCCTTTTAACGCTAATTTTCCCCCCCATATTCAAGCCTTTTGTAAAAGTCATAATGAAAATGAAACATGTAAAACAAACTGGTTGAAGAACAGTTATTTTCGGGATTTCACATGGGACCTTTTAAACATACGTCTAAACAATTCAAGGACTCTATAAGATAAGACTCTATTATGCTCACATCTCCTATCACGCCAGAAATGTAGTAGGCCCTGTGGGAGTAGGAAAACTCGATCAAGTTCAAATAAGTGCGATAGTAAGAGGCTAGAGTCGAAAGAGCAGAAGATGTTTTAGTGGGGTTTTAGTGGGTCTTTAACTCCTAGTCCCCACACTACAGTCTGACTACCTTGTGTGTAAACGTATCTCTTATCACACCCCACACACGATCACCCACACACTCTCTCTCTTTCTCTCCCCCTCTCTTTCTACCAAAAATGCTTTATTTCATATAATATAAAACCGTTTCTTCGCATAGCTGGCTGCAACTGGTGCATGAGGCAAAGTTGTAATCCTGGAGCGTGCAAAGAAGCTAAGACCTTCAACCCAACGAAAGACGCTGAACGTATCAGAAACGCCGTGGAGGGACTGGGAACTACGGAATCAGAGTTGATAGATATCCTGATCCATAGATCGGAGGACCAGTTGGAGGAGATAAGAAAAGCATACCAAAAACTTGGCCATGTAATGGACAAGGACATTGATGAGGATACTAAATGGAAAATCAAGGTCGGTGTTAGCGCAATTGATTCGTCGAAATGATAATTATATGAAAGCATTACAGTAATGCCGAAGAAAAGTGTAATTTTAGAGTTGGGAATATTTATTCTACTTACTTATACTGATAAGAACAACGTAGCTTCATCATTGTGAAAGGGCTCCACAAAAAAACTTTTAATTACCTCAGAAAGCATAATATGAATTTGGTATTAGTTATTAGGTGGGTAGTTTATCAGGGAACATCTCTAAATAAATGAGAAATATTACCATCCGAACCACTTTTTCGTGAGGTAAAATTATTGCGTCCATTTATTTTTAATTGGATTTAAATTGATGCCTTTGAAATACTTGGAATTGATAATTAATTGAATAAACCACTCTTGACTGTCATCCGATTCCTCATAATCAAATTATATAAATTCATCTTCGATCTTGTCGAGGTTTTAAGTCAACTGTTAATCAATTATCCCATTATATTATATCATTACTCTGGGCTCAGAATTAAAGCAATGTATTCCCTCAAAATTTAGAGTATCACTCATGCGAGTGAGAATCACTCATTTAGAGTATCAGTTTTGTATTTTTTGAGAAAAATGTATTATATGATAATCATACTTATTGTAGGAAATAAACTTGTATGCTATTAAAATCGAGTTTTCCCTACTATTACTATAAACTACAAGAAATAAATATTTTACTGATACAATACTGAATAATCTGAATAAAAACTGTTTACACAATTCTCACAATGTACAAAGCAACTGGTCCAGAACAATAGGGAATTTAAAAAGATCAGCTGTTTAAAAAAGGCAAAAGACAAAATGGACCAACTACTAATTCCAACATTCCCACCAAGTTTATGGAAAGTTAACACTGGAAATGAACTTAAAAAATGCGTTGGAACAAGTTTAAGTTATAATTTCTCATTGTTATTGTGATAAATTGTGTTCGCAGGATCTTTTTCAAGATTTACTCAAAACTCGTCCAGAATTCTACGCAGACAAGCTAAAAGAAGCGTTTGAAGATAAGAAGTCAAGTGCTATTCTGATGATTCTTACCTCATTGCCACCTTGTGCCATTCTAGAAATCGGATCAGCGTATAATAAGAGACATGATACTGACATTTTCAAAGCTGCCAAAAACGCAGCAATGAATGATTACGAAAAGTTCCTTATTGAACTTATCAAAGCGGACCGAGACCCTGAAGGTCCGGTAGATATAGAAAAAGCAAAGAAAGACGCTGAGCTACTACAGAGAAGTGAATCCGAACATAGGATGATTGCAGACGGAGATGCCTTTATTGAAGTGTTTACGAAGAGATCTTATGCTCATATTAGACAGGTAACGTTTTAAACAGATTTAATATCCTTCGATCAAAATTACGTGTATCATGCAGTAATTTTGACCCTATAGTCAACAACAAAAGTTATTATCATCCCTGTTGGACTAAAAATAGGGCACTAAGAAAATTTAACACATTTGGACCAAAAAAGGTAAAAGCAGACAGTCTAAAGACTGTTGGACAAATGTGAAACTTTGTATACGTTCAAAATTTGGCCAAATGTTGAAGTGTGATGTGAACGGTTCGTTACTGTCTTTTGTCACAGTATCGGGGCCTAATCTATGCATCTATGTATTTCCTTTCTCTACCTATTCCTCACGATTCTCAGGTCTCCTTCCATCTCACTAATGTTATTCAAAACTGCTGGAAATGCTCTTTCTTTTTTTAAGCTTTCATTGGCTTGCCGTAAGAAGACTCTCTTGTCCATCCTATATTGGCTTTATAGTGCTATTTCCCCAGCTTCTTTGTAATATCATAGAGACCCTTGTTATGACCCGCATTGGCCGCATCTTGTGCCAACGTTGCAAACTCTTCTGCAAACACTCTATTTTCGCTTCTCACATTTCTTTTCACGAGAAAATTTTTCTACAAGTATTCTACTGCGGCAAGTGCTTTTGGGTTCTAGCATGGTTTTACTTGGCATTCTTTTCTCTTCTCGTTTTCATTTCACTCCACGTGTCATCAGAAATACGGAATTTGTCTCTGAGTATTCTGCACGGCCAAGTGCTTTTGGGCTCTAGCACTTTTAAATTTGTCTTTTTTCTCTTCTAGTTTTTATTTCGTTCCCCGTGTCATGCTGTAAGAGATACACTCCTTACAGCCATATTCCTGAACAACTACCTCATAGCACCTACCACAACCTGATTGAAGAATTACCAATGCCCTAAACACTACATTCATCCAAATCCGCTAAAACCTCAAATCTATGTTGTAGGTTGATAGAAAATAGTTCCCTTACCCCCTTCATTTCTGAGCCTATATGCAGCTTAGTTCCTTGACCTGCCTTCTTGGTAGTTGCTTTTGTGAGGCGTACCCGTTGCAACCATAAGATGGTGGCCCGTTCCAGCGTCAGCTTTACACTTGTTTTGACATTCAATAGAGATATTTTATATCTTAGACCTATAGAAAAAAGGTCGATATGATATTCTGTTTGTTGATCTGTAAAAACCCAGGTCACCTTGTGGCACAGTCTATGAGGGAAAGGGGATCTCCAATTACCAACTCAAAGTTTTCACAGGTTTCTATAAATAACTCTCCATTTTCGTTTGTAACACTATGCCTGCCCATCACACACACACACACACACTCTCTCTTTCTCTGTCTTCCCCCCCCTCTCTCTCTGTCATTATTGTCATATCCAATCATTGCATTGAAGTGTTCTATCATCATTACGATATCCCTCTTTTTAGTTTTTGCCAATTTTGCTTCAAGTAGAAGAGGTCATTTTCCTCATGGTCTGCTGCAAGTATTGAGACATAACACTAAACAACGGTTACTGGCCTCTTGTTTGAAACGTCCTGTTATCCCATCACTGACAGGTGTCCATTCCACCATGCTATCTTTTTTGCTTTTCGGTTTAAGAATATTCACACTCCACTAACATGCACCTCATTATCCTTTTTGCCAGAATGTGTTGTAAAATTCTTATAAGGAGATAGTTTTATGCGTTGATGTGTTTCACACATTGTTTCACAGGTACACACCTACTAACCCTATAGTGCCACTGCCAAATAAGGTTTACAGTTTGGTATAAATACTTCATAAGGCTAAGCTCTTCACGAGGAAGCAAAAACTTTACGCTCTAAACAATTTAGTACATAATTAAATATATTTTTCTTCTAGGTCAAAACGGAGTATGAACGTATGGGCTTTGGTGATTTTAATAGTGAAATGGCTAAGAAATCAGGAGATCCCATGGTCAAAAAAGGCTTAACAATAATACTGAATAACATCGAGGACCAACAAAAATACTTCGCGAACATGATACAAGACGCTATTGATTCAATAAATGTGTTTGAATTAAAGGTAAGACATCATTTAGAAAAAAAATGGGTATTACATTTTATTAAGTACTAGCCGGCCCGACAGACGTAGTCCTGTCCTAATGTGGTTTTATGTCAAATGATCGTTCATTTTCAAGATGAGCTCGTTCGCATGGCTCAATCACGTCCTGGATGAAGTTCGTTCGCTACGCTCACTCACCTTAAGGCTGCAGCTCGTTCGCTGCGCTCACTTGCCTTCAGGTTAGCTCGTTCGCTACGCTACCTCGCCTCCAGGTTGATGTTCGCTCGCTACGCTTACTCACTTTTTGGTTACAAATTAGCTGTTGTCATAAATAAAAAAAAAAATAATACTGCTGTACCCTGCTGGTAAACCTATTAACTTTTAATCATCAATAGAATCAAATTGATTAGTTGAACCAGCTGTTAAGATTCTTTAATTACATTTAAATATGAGTACTCATAAGGTTAACATGGGAAACTCCAGAGCCACTGGGGCGGAGCCCTTTTGACAGATCCGCACCAAACCTCACACAAACCATCCTTGAATAATGCCTGAAAGTTTTATTACAATCCGTCGAGCGGTGTTGGAGTCCATAAAGGACAAACAAACAAACAAACAAACAAACAAACAAACAAACAAACAAACATACATACATTGGATTTTAAGATTAATGGCAGCAAAGTTCAGCCAATCAGATACTTATAATTAATTGTCCCCTTTTACAAAAGAGGTTTTCCTTTCTTGTTTTATGAACAGAATTTTAAAGCTACGATTTCAAATGTAATACAAATCAATAGTTGGCTACTTTTTTTATGTGTAACCTCTCAATTTTTAGGTTAAAAACTAATCTTTTTGTGTGGTTTTGAGTCAGTTCCATTTTGTTTACATTCAATGTACAGTCCGAACCTTTTTTGTATCCAACAGTCCAAACCGTGTTTTCCTTACTACTTGTACTTGGTAAGGGCAAACAACTTCTACTAATGAAAAACTAGTCCTATTTCACAGCAATTAGTATGATTTCGTTTCGCTTTGCTTCTAAAATCCGATTCTATTTTTATACATTTTAAAGCTTAAAGATTATAGCCTACAAATTTTAGATTTGACAATGTGTTAGTGATTGTTATTGTGATTCAAAGAAGAATAAACATTTTTTCACTATGTTGAAGGACAATGAAATGCTGGTTCTAATATTGAGGGGAAGATGTGGCCTGGACTTGGGAGATATTCTGAAGACTTACGCGTCCCACCACGAGAAAAGTATTATAGAAAAACTCAAGCAAAGATCCTGGGGAGACTACGAGGATGCCCTTGTGCAGATGTGTCAAGAGCAAAAAGTGTAAAAGTGATATATTAGCTCAATAAAGTATTTGGAACGAACAGTATTGTATAGCTCGTGTCAAATAGTATTTTGTATACACCTGTGCTAAAACCACGAAACACTTCAAACCACGTCTGAAAAACTGAGTATAAAAGATTTCTAATCTTTATATAAGTCATCTTGATTGTCAGCTGTGAAGGATGGTTTCAAGTCATTACAGTACAATATCTGTGGAGACATTATGGTTTCATTGAATATATACAAAAAGTTTGCAGCATAAGAGTAATAAAATAAACACTTTGAAACATATGCGATCGTTCACTAGCGTCGATATTTAAACTATAAATTAATTTGTATAAGATAAGAAATTTAATTCGTAAACGTTCTCAAAAAGCATAGAAATGCATATGGTATTTTAAATTAGATTAATTTTGTTTGGGCAATCAGAACACAGGCCAAATAGTTTTCTCACGTTATTAAAAATAAAAGTTATATTTTTCCATCACTTAAATTAGTAACCAAGGTTTGAGTTATTGAGTAAGCTTGAGTAAGCTAATGACATAACCTTCTTGGCTTTCGGAAGAGGACATACCAGAAATAGAAATGCAAATCGGTTGATCAGAACTTTACCTGAACAGGAGATAAACAAACTTTTAACACCCAACTCTTCGGCTTAAGCCGCTTAACCTTATAAATTCAAATCGTGAGATTTAATTCTCACCTTACTTAATCAAACTATTTAATAGTGTAATCGTTTATTAATTGTATGACCATATTAGTAGGGCATAGTGAGTGAGCTTTTTTGTCAAGCCCATAGGAAAGAATGAATACTTGTTTTTCTTCCAGTTTTTATGGACCTCAGTACAAATCTCAACTAAGAGAAAGCCACGAATTGCGGTCTTTTTCGTATTTATCATTGATATTTCTCATCTTTAATTGACAGGTCAGTTGTAATAGACTTACGAAGGTAAATCAGTCAGAAAATCCTTCCATCAAATAATGTTTACCATAATGAAAAGGTTTTTCCATAGCAAATAATTATTTGGATTCGGTTAACAATATACATTCTGAGAATTTATACAGGCACTTCAAATATGTAGCAGAGCATTATTAATCATAAAACTTAATTTATCATGATAAGATTTGATTGAGTTAGATTCGCAAGCTATGTCTTGTGCTTAACGAGTAAGCATAAAGTGATATTTTCACTTTAATTATATGCCTAGACGAATGGCTTTAGAGGGTAAACCTACATATTTCGCTTTCTTTTAAACAAGAAACGTATATTATATAGTTTAGACAAATTTACCCCATAAATCAACTTGTAACTGGTACAAAAATAATCAGAAATAGACTCGAATCGTGTTGTTTATAGGAGTAAAACCGTAGATTTCGCTGTCCCCAGAGGCCAAAAACACTATTAGATCAAACTTTTATGTACATTGTGTAAATTAAGTATTGAAACAAATTTGTATTCTTTAAACCGAAATAGATAGAAATATTATGTTTGTGGCATTAAATGTTAACAAAGGATCCGCAATTTTTTACATCAAATATATTTTCTAGCCCCCCTGACAGGGTAAAGGGTAGCAGGTGACTTATTTGTTTCAAGCATCAACCCCTATTGAGTAACCCCTCATTTTGGAGGGTTTATCATAATAAATACAATGATTAACACCCCTAGCCGAAATGGCAGGTATTCCAAAATTTGATTTATGTGAAAAAGCACAAATTCTACAAATATAGAAACAAATCTGTATTTTTTTAAACCGAAATAGAAGATGTTTGTGGAATTGGTTGTTAACAAAGGTTCCACAAAAAAATAAGTCACACCCTATTCCCTACCCTGACTGGGGGGTTATTTTTTATGTAAACAATTGCGGATCCTTTATTAAAAATCATTGCCTCAAACAGAATATTTATATCTATTTCGGTTAAAACAATACAGATTTGTTTCAATACTTAATTTACACACTGCATGTGTGTTTCTGTAAACAGGATATTACACGGTTGAAGATTTTTCCAAACAATTTTGTTTTTATAACAATTTTGTTGCAATATACTAGTTCAACCTGACTGACCCTTTTCTATGAATTTCCTGATGACCATGTTACCTCTGATGATCGCTCTTGCTTTCTTGGTATTTCTACTATAGCACTTTCACATCATTAGGTCTCTATAGAAATAACCATCTCTATATTTACACCCCCAAGTTTATAGCACGATATCAACTTCCTTTGTTGCTGAATTCTGTATGTTTAGCAAGAGACATCTTCGTGGTCTCATTGTTTTTACGTTTATGAAATACGGAAATTATGTTCTTACAGTATTATAGATCTATAGTTTCTAGTTACTAATTGAAATAAACAACAAAATAGCTCATTTTCTAATTCATATGTTTTTGAAAATGAGTAAAGAACAACAGAGCTTGTAAGGTACAATACCAATGAGTGATGACAATCCATTATGTTGTAATGTTTTCCAGGTTATTGTTTAACAGGAAACTCCTTCTAACATCGATTGCTCAACAAATAACATCTTTATCCACCAATATCTGTGGCCTTCGTTCATTTCATTTTATCACTGTAACTAAATTTTGGTATATCTCGATGTAAATTACATCCCTATTACGATTAACTACTGTAAATACAATGCATATCTATATACTCACTCAAAAAAGTACAAATAATTATTGCATCTTTCATTCTCGTTATAATGCGATTGTTTGTAGCTACCCTCCACAATCACTTTCTCTTCATATCTATATCTATAAAAGAGGAACTATGTATGTATGTATGTATACACGTTATGGACTCCGAAATCGCTCGACAGATTGATTTCAGACATTATTAAACATCTTTCAAGGATGGTTTGTGTGAAGTTTGGTGCAGATCCGTCTGCAGAGCTTCGCCCCAGAGGGTTTTAAGTGGGCCAATGCCAGACTTTTTTAACTACAATTTTCACAATGTAAATATTATAATTTTAAAGCAAATGTTTACAAAACCTGTGTTTGAATATAATCACAACATTATTAGTCATGATTTGAAAGAGTGCCACAATGTTTCCACAGACTGCAGCACAGAAAACTATTTTACTTTTGAATTATTCAAAATATATTAAACCCCAATTGCAGCACACCTGTGCACTCAACAACGTTTAAATTCTCCAATGTTAAATATGTAAATATAAAAACCATTAATATGAAGTTTAGAGCAGTCTCATTTCATAATCAGTATTTCAGTTGCGGGCAGAAAACGTGAAGTTTATTCCATCCATTTCGGCTAATGAGGTTTAAAGGTACTGTTCCTACTAATACAAAGAAAACTTACTGTTCCTAGTAATACTAGGTTTTCTTTGTGTGCAACCTGTTCCTAAACAGTTATAAAAGTAACTGGATTAGGAACGTAATATGGTGCCATTTCGAACGAATCGAAAATCGTTGGAATAGCCTCTGCATTTTTTTAAATGGTACACCACCTATCGCTTACACGTTCGTCTAGCTTGAAGGATGAAATTTATATAGTTAAATTCTACATGAACTACTATTTAGTGCGATATAAATATAATTTAATTTGTGCCAGTGTATAAATTATTAATAAAGGAAAATATAAAAGGGAACACTATATATGACTATGTATATGGGGGGGAACTTCTATATGAACATAAAAAGTAAGTAAGCGGGGATTTTTTTGATTTTTCGGTCAGAAAAAAACTTGCAGTGGGAAAAGTATAAAGAATTAGATTTTCCTCAATTTTGTATTCAAATATTTTCTCATAAGACTTTTAGTTTGTCACTAATAGGGACGAGAATCATGCCCATGGGTCGGGAGCGAACCCAAGTTCATGCTTGGTTGCAAGTTCTCGTGCTAATCACGGTCGGTTGACCTGTCAGTTCTAGGTTGGTGTCGAACGCTTCCGCATCATACCTTGCATAGGCAATCTGTTCATAGGCAACTTGTTTGGAAATGAAGTGCCACAATAATTATGGTCAGTTTTGAAAATTTTGCCCTTAGGGGTAGCGTGGGTAGGGGGCAGCTCAAAATTTTCAAATAGCAAGTATAGTCGAGTTTGGTATCATTTTACAGGTCTTGACGTAACATAACAAATAACATAAAGAAAATAGAAATCGGACCATTAATAACAAAATGGCAGCTAAAAATGATTGAGGCAACGGTTATTTAAATAAACTTTGAACTGCCATTTTGTTATTAATGGTTCGATTTCTATTTTCTTTATGTTAATTGTTATTCACTTGCTATTTGAAAACTTTGAGCAACCCCCTACCCCCGCTACCCATAAGGGCAAAATTTTTAAAACTGACCATAATTATTTTAGCCCTTTATATCCAAACAAGTTGCCTGCAAACCGATTTCAAATATCTGAAATAGTTAAAAAGTTAAAGAGGGTGTAAGTTAATATTTTTGCCACCCTCATGGTTATTTGGATTTGAAACGTTTTAGGGCTCAATTTTGTTATTAGTGAGCCGATTTTAGTTTTCTTTATGTCAATGTTTATGTTTCGTCAAGACCTGTAAAATGTTACCAAACTCAACAATACTTGTCTTTTGAAAATTTTGAGCTACCCCCTACACCCGCCACCCCTAAGGGCAAAATTTTCAAAATTGGCCATAATTATTGTAGCCCATCATATCTAAGAAGGTTGCCGCAAACCGATTTCAAATATCTCAAATGGTTGAAAAGTTAAGTGGTGGTGCAAGTTACTTTTCAGCCACAATGTATATCCTTCAGTATATACTCTACACAAACAAAGACAGTCTCCGTTACACTTGTGTTGTATTTCATACATAACAGACACGAGATACTCAGATATTCTCTACACAAACAAAGACAGCCTCTGTTACACTTGTGTTGTATTTCATACATAACAGACACGAGATACTCAGATATTCTCTACACAAACAAAGACAGCCTCTGTTACACTTGTGTTGTATTTCATACATAACAGACACGAGATACTCAGATATTCTCTACACAAACAAAGACAGCCTCTGTTACGCTTGTGTTGTATTTCATACATAACAGACACGAGATACTCAGATATTCTATACACA